CACGGTCCGTCCCCGCGGCCGGCGGCGCGTGAAGGTGCGGACGCCAGGCGTGGGGGTCCGCGCGGAGGCCTGGGCTGTGCGGCCAGGGGATGGTGGGCCCCTGGGCTTCTGCAGTGGAGAGGGCACCCCCAGAACAGCCGTGCCTCCGGGCTGCCCCAGCGAGGCGCTTGACAGCGAGCCCTGGGGAAGTTGGGCAGCTGTGAGTTTGCCTGTCGCCGTTAAGTGCCCTTAGGATGCAGTGATTAAGGAATTAGGCTCTCCCTCCGGGAGGGGCACTGCCTGCGCTTGAGAACTCGGTGCAGAGAAAAAGGACAGAATGATGCTGTCCGAGCAAGCCCAAAAGTGGTTTCCTACCCACGTGCAGGTCACAGTGCTCCAAGCCAAAGATCTTAAGCCAAAAGGCAAAAGTGGCACCAATGACACATACACTATAATTCAGTTGGGCAAGGAAAAGTACTCCACCTCTGTAGCTGAGAAAACCCTTGAGCCAGTCTGGAAGGAAGAGGCCTCTTTTGAGCTACCTGGATTGCTAATGCAGGGGAATCCAGAGAAATACATTCTTTTCCTCATAGTTATGCACAGGTCCCTGGTGGGTCTGGATAAGTTTTTAGGGCAGGTGGCAATCAATCTCAATGACATCTTTGAGGACAAACAAAGAAGGAAAACAGAGTAAGTTATGTAATTTATTTTGAATTTGGGGGAGATTAACTATATCTTATTTATGGATATTCTGTTCTTGGAAATTATTTGTATAGCTGGGGCATTGGTTTTGGATTGAAATATGACCTAGTTTTAAGCACCATATCTGCACGAATCTGAAGTAAAAATAGCCCTTGTGAAGAAATATTTTTTAAATGGAGGCATTAATGATCCATTACTCTCTCATTTTTAAGGTAAACATCTTAAATAATTGAATATTTTGCGCTGAATTTTAAGTAAACTGACATTGTTTCACTACTTATAAGAGGACTGGATCACATAACATATGTTCAAATTGTGATGATCATTAAACATTACAATTTGCCAGGAAATGGAACATCAGAAAATTAAATCCACCAATGTAAGGTCTCATACTGAACTCTGAAGCTGTCAAAAGATAAATTACCAAATTTAGAGCTCAGTATTTCATTGCAGATTTACAAACACAAATTGGCTTTTATTTTAGCTCAACCATTTTTCGGGGTCAGTACATCTTGATGGAGTCTAAAGCTGTTAAAAGAAAAAAATTTTAAAAGTGTTTACAAACATTCCTAACCTTGAATACACGCTAACATTTTCCTGTGAATTTACAATGTATTGGAGTTAGTATATTACTTCAGAATTAATTTTGTAAAGCCAGCGTGTTTAGACTATGTTAAATGCTCTCAGATTGGAGACAGTGATTCAGTTCTTGTGATGAAGTGATTTAATGACCTCTTCACTGCAAACATGACCTTTAACCTACGACTTTTAAGCTTAGGATAGATATAGTCTCATTTAAAAAAGGATAATATAAATTAGCACTTGGATATTATGTCTTAAGTTGAAAAATGATATGTTTTTAGAGATAGATATACTCACCCTTCCTTAAACCTGTAATTATTCTGATCTGAGAGAACCTTAAGATTAACGGAATTAATGAGAGAAAAATATAGGTTGAATTTATAAGAGGACTTCCAAGTTTCCAAAGCAGCTTTGGTGTTTCTTTCAGTCATAACTGAAATTTATTTGCCCTTTTAAAAACTTTTGATAATGGTAACTTTCTTGAAGTTCGTGTTAATTTCTTGTATTTTAGAACAAGTGTGTCTTATTATTTTCTGTACATCTTCCTGCAGTCTTCTCTTGATTTGTGTTTTTATTTTTATTACATTTTTTTAAATTAGGACTTCGTGTAAGATTTAATACGTGAAGGGTAAAAGGGTAGAGAGATAAGAAGTACTAGGAATGCAAGAGGAAAACTGGTAAATATTTAATTAGGAGATAATATTTTAAGAAAAATTTTCAAAGAATGTAAAGTTGAATATATACGGGTGATTTTTGACAACTGTTTGTTACCTACAAAATGGCATTGTTTCCTCTGAGGAGTTCTTCATCAAATTGAAACTGAAAAATGGATAATCAGCAAATAATTTGCTTCAAATCACCAATTTTGGATGACACTTGCTCTATAATATTTAAAGTGCTTTGAATGTAAACTTTTAAGTATATTGTAACTGCAAATTTTATCCTGCGTTTTTTGGTAGTTTTTATGTTAATGAATGACCTATTACAGGCCTTCTCTGAAATCTAAATTTTCTGAGTGAAAGTAGGCCCAACTGTGAATCCAGAGATTCAGAGGATGAAATGAGTTTTTAAAATTCCTTCTTGTTTTACTCCTTATCTTTGGCAGCATCCGAGTGACAGTATATTTGGCCATAAGCAACTCTCTCCTATCGTGGTCTCCCTACAGAAATTCTCTATTGACTACTATATAAAATTCACTGGAACTTTCAGGGGGAAAATACTTTTAAATGTTCTCAACAGGGCTTGTGATGTTATTGCATGCAAAGTGATTTTCCGGTGTTATTAAATCCCATTTTCGTTGTGGATAAATGAGGACCACATATTTGATGAGATAGCTTTATTGGTAATATTTCTAGTTTTTTAATATATTTAATAGCTTCCTTTTCCAGCACAGCTGTGCATGTGGCACAGTACGAGATGAACTCGAGCCGCCGGTGTATTGCAAGAAAGATATTTAATATTCTGCACAGTGCTGAGCCTTGTCGGCATATCCCCAAGTGCTTTTTAGAAAACCGGTATGAGTGATGAAGGCTACCAGCTGATTTAGAAGTCCCATGAAACTGCTGGGTGTGACACTTTATACTCTTGACACTGAAGACAAGTATTTACAGCTTGTCTTCCAATTGTGTCATGATAGGCAAAGAAATGTGATGGCTAAAACTATTACTTTACTTATTTTTATAATTTGAGATTAAATGCCTTTCTTTCTTTTTTTTTTTTTTCTTTTAAGGAGAGGGAAAGGGCCTGAGCCAGAACATTTTGAGTGGGGCATGGAAAGAGAACTTCTGTATCTCCCACTTTTATGGGTGTCTGGGTTGGTTCTGGCATGAGATTTAAGGAAATAATACAATGTTTAATAATAGAACGGTAAAATCGTTCATGCTGTTATGTAATATCTATTGATTTTTTTACAACAGGAATGGGTAATGTTGATTTTTTTTTTTTTTTTTAATGCTCATGAAAAGTAATAACAATCAGAGTCCCTAGAGTTAGGTATGACTCAAACACATGCAGATTTTAGGACTTTTGTGTGAGTCTCTGCATTGCACCTGTGTCCTGGCCTTTGGCACCCTTCCTGCCAATCTTGTCCTGTTTCTGACCACACAGCACCAATTGCTTGGGAATAGTTCCCACATGTGTGGTGGTTTTTGAACATGGACCTGTGCCCACTAAAAATTGAACAGAGGCCATATACAGTTTAAAAACAACACTCCAGAGGTGAAAAAAAAATCAGCATTAATCCACTAAGCCCCAAATGCTGTGTCTTCATTTTATCTTTCTGAAGCCTGGGAAAATAAGTGCTATCTCTGGAATGATTCTTGAAGGTCTCATTAAGACTTCCCCATTATATCACTTTCAAAACAAAGCAGCTAAAGTAGTTTGTCATGCCTAAATTTTAAGTTTTATATATTTGTTAAAAGTTCTTTGCAGTTTTTTTTTTTCTTGAAGGGTGGGGAGAGGATGATGGAAAATACACTGTATTTAGAATTTGTATTCAAATACTGACTTGCTTGATTCTTTAAAGCTTACCTGAGTAGTGTTCCCTACCATAAAACAAAAACAACACAACACACACAGAGTTGTAGCTTGGTTGTGTTAAGAGTATAGTTTTAGAAAAAAATATTCAATAAACATTTATCGAGTGCAAGGCAAACTGCCTTCAAGGAGCTTACCCTTTAGCAGGAGAAGACCTGCGTTGCCTTCTTCCTTGGTTGTCACTGCCTCCTGATTGAACACAGCGTTCTGTAACACATGGCCAGCCCTGCCTTTAACCTTATTAACATTTGTGGTTCATCAGATAGTAAAGAACTTCTATTTTCATGCAGATGTTACTCATCAACTTGGATATTTTCCTCATTGACTTTAATCTGACATTGGGAAGTTACTTAGCCTTTGTGCCTCAATTCCCTCATCTATGAAAAATGGATGTTAAAAGTAGATGATTGATTTGGTCTTATTTCTGAAATTCAATGAGTTTTGATTACTCTCACCTCCTACTATCTATTGGGTTATTGGTTTATTTTTTTCCTCAGATTTGCTTTGATTTGTTGTATACATGGAAGAGGACATGCTTAGGTTTTTTGTTTTTTTTTTTTAAAGATTTTATTTATTTATTTGAGACCGAGAGAATGAGAGAGACAGAGAGCACATGAGAGGGGGGAGGGTCAGAGGGAGAAGCAGGCTCCCTGCCGAGCAGGGAGCCCGATGCGGGACTCGATCCTGGGACTCCAGGATCATGACCTGAGCCGAAGGCAGTCGCCCAACCAACTGAGCCACCCAGGCGCCCGAGGACATGCTAAAGTTTTTTGTTTTTGGTACACTTCTTGCAAAGTATATTCACTTATTTTGTGTAAAGCCTGGATGTTACAGAGTATTTCCCATGTACTATCCATTAGAAGCATTTCTCCCCCCTTGAAAATGGCTTTATTTTCCAGAACTGGGAATTAATAACAGGGTGTATAACCTTGCTTTTCGAGTATTAAATTTTTTCTTGTTCAAGGTTCTCTATTCCACAGAGTTTATTGCTGTCATTTTTTATTTCTAGTCCCTGTGTCTTCAGATTTCAATATTTGCTTCAAGGGCGTTTCTCAATTTAGGGTCTTGGGGTGTAATGCTTCCTATTATAAAATATTTTATTTTTAAAAAACTGCTTGCTTTGATGCAACTAGATCTTAATTGATTGAATTGCATCAAATTAATGAAGAAAACATTTCTCTCGTGTGTAACTTGCTGAGATGGAACTGATATGGATGCTTTGTGCCAATTTTCTCTCCTGCCTGGAAAAGACCCATGGACTGGTCTTCCACCTGATGGATGGTAAACATAGGTTTCTTCTGGCATATCTTCCTGGTAACAAGGCGAGAAAGTACTAATGTAAAATTAGATCAGAGTTCCTTTGTAGCTAAGAAAATTTGTTACACTTGGTTAGAGCTGTATTTAAGTAATAACCTGTGTGCAGGTTATGCTTCATTGTTAAGTAATGTGAAAACACTGTAGAAACTCTTCTAGGCTTGATTTTGCAATTTTTTGGCTGTTTTCCCTGTAGAATAACCACTTGTATCACTGACCACTGGAGACTTTCTTGTGGATAAAAATACTATGAACAAAACCAAAACAAACTTGGCTTCCTATATAGTAGCCCCCTCGTATCCACGGGGATACGTTCCAAGACCCCCAGTGGGTGCCTGAAATTGTGGCTAGTACCCAATCCTAGATATACTATGTTTTTCTCTATATGTACATACCTATGATCAAGTTTAATTTATAAATTAGGCACAGTAAGAGATCAGTAGTACAATAGAACAGTTATATACTGTAATAAAAGCAATGCGAATGTGGTCTCTCTCTCTTATTGTCCTGTACTCACTCTCCTTGTGCTGATGTGAGATGATAAAATGCCTCCCTGTTGAGATGAAGCGGGGTGAATGACATAGGCTTTGTGACGTAGCATTAGGCTACTACTGATCTTCTGAGGATATGTCAGACGGAGGATCGTCTGCTTCCAGGACTCGGTTAACCGCTGGTACTGAAGCCGTGGATAAGGGGGACTGCTGTAACATCATTTGACAATGGGCAGTGCAATTCAGCAAACTGACTACAAGCATAAGATTTGGCTCCAATTAAAATAATTTTTCTTTGATATTGTTACAGTAGCAATAGTAAATGAAGCAAATAGATTCTAAAGGAAGCATTTAAGCTTGCTTTTTCAAAAACTTTACAGGATTTATGACTATTTGTCACTTCCTACATTTTACTCGTTTTTCATACTTTATTCAGGGGAAGGCTTTGACCCACTTGATATGAATCTAAATTACATCTTAGGTAATTTTCACAGTGAGCAAACTATAATGCAGTGGTCTCCGATGATAACGAAATTCTTTCAGTAGTTTTTACAGAAGAAAAACGGGCTAAATATTTAATTATTAAAAATGGGGTCATTATTGTATAATGCTCAAGAGTAGTGAACTGATGAATTCTTTCATAGCCTTTACCTCAATGTCTTTTAACATTAACAAATGTTTTTAGGCCACTAGCAATGCTTATGTCAGATGGACACAGAAGAGCTGTCGTGCTTAGATTGCCTTGATGTGTAATAGCTTTACCTGAAAACCTATTTATATATAACAGGCTCGTATCCTCTCTGCATTACGTGTTACAACCCAGTTTTTTCCTTCTCTTTAAGGTGGTTTAGATTAGAATCCAAACAAGGAAAAAGAGCCAAAAACAGGGGTGAGATAAAGGTCAATATTCAATTCATGAGGAACAATATGACAGCAAGTATGTTTGACTTATCAATGAAGGACAAAACAAGATCTCCTTTTGCAAAATTAAAAGATAAGATGAAAGGTAGAAAAAATGATGGGACATTTTCTGATACGTCTTCTGCAATCATTCCAAGTTCTCACATACCCGATGCCAATACTGAATTTTCAAGTGGTGAAATACAGATGAAATCCAAACCAAAAAAGCCTTTTCTTTTGGGTCCTCAGCGACTCTCTTCAGCACATTCAATGTCTGACTTAACTGGGACCCACATATCTTCTGAGAAACTGAAGTCTGGCACCACTGGTCAAACGCATCTTCTTGGACGGCAGATAGATTCCTTTGGAGCAGTTCCGGAAAGTGGTAAGTGACACCTTCTAATTGTATCCTTAGTGATCCGAACTACCGTTGTAATTTTTAAAGTCTAACTTATAAAGTTAGAAAATAAAAATTGCAATTTCTTGGTAGTTTCTAAGTTTAGTCGTCAACTCTTTATTGAGTGCTGAGTATGCTCAAAAGTGGTAAGTTTATTAAAGGCAGAACTTGTCTGTATTCAGCGTTGTGTTTATATTATTAAATGATAACAAAAATGAATCCCAGTTGCTTTTCATGGCCTTGCCTCTTTTTTTCCTGCTGTTTCTTTGGTCTTGAAAGCCTGAAGCATAAATAAATGTTCCATTTAATCAGAACGTTCCTAGAAAAAAAATCTTGTATGTTCAGAAGTAGCAAAGTATATTTAATGCTAATGATGACAAAAGTCTTTGAGAATTTATAGCACCTTTATGCCCACCAGAACCTCTAGTTTTGACATTATAGCTTATGTGATTTTTTTTTTTCTGAGCTGAGTAAATTACTGATTGTCTAGCAATATGCTAATTATCATTAGCCTACCTACTTGTGCTATACTTTACCATTTTAAGATTGTTTTCCTTGATTATTTTAAAGGTTAATACCTTTAGCTAATTGCTCTCATTCTAAAAGCAGCAGTATGCACACAGAATGTGTCAAGTAGTGTGATGTAATGTGTCACTGATTATGTGCTAACTACAAAATTGTTTGCAGGAAGTCTCAAATCTCCACACAGAAGAACATTAAGCTTTGATACTTCTAAAATGAACCAACCTGACAGCAGTGTGGATGAAGGTGAATCGTCTCTCGGAAGACAGAATGACCCATTTACAAATGTGACTGCTTCATTACCCCAAAAATTTGCAACACTGCCAAGGAAGAGAAATCCATTTGAAGAAAGCAGTGAATCATGGGACAGCAGCATGAATTTATTTTCAAAATCAGTTGAAGTTAGAAAAGAAAATAAAAGAGAGAAAAGGGAGAAAGTTAGCCTGTTTGAAAGAGTGACTGGAAAAAAAGATAGCCGAAGATCTGATAAACTTAACAATGGGGGATCTGATAGCCCTTGTGACTTGAAATCACCTAATGCATTTAGTGAAAATCGTCAGGACTATTTTGATTATGAGTCAACTAATCCGTTTACAACAAAATTCAGGGCTTCAAATATAATGCCATCTTCAAGGTAAGCCTAACATTGGGGGAAATTGTGCTATTTTGAAAAATATTATACTTGAAAGTATCAAATATCCCTTTTAAATACTTGAATGTTTTAAATTCCTTTTATTTGACTTGAACAAAATTCTTATCTTATTTTTATAATTAATTATGGAGCCAGGCAACATTGCATACATCTTTGGAATTGAACTTTTTATCTTAGAAGGATAAAAGATTATTAATCCCTACCCTAGTCTTTTTCTACTTCCCTGAGCAAGAAACTCACTGAAACTTACGAAGAGAACGACGTGGCTTTTGATGAGACATGGTGAGAGTGAATCACCACTGGGTGTTAATGCAGGCCAGAAATTAGGTGATATGTTATGTTTCTAGATACTATTTTCCAGGGATTAGTTCACGGGCTCTCTGGAGAGGATTAGTGGACCAATAGCAGCCCATGGGCTGTTCTTTAAGAAATACTGGCTTAGGTTAAGTATTAATGGTTTTCATCGTAGGCGTTAACTACCGTTATCAAATGTCTGTTTAGAAGCAGCTTTCATTTGTGAATGTTTACTGGAATTTTGTGACCCTTGTGGGTACTCTAAATATATCAAAGAGTTTTCTATATGATGACTTACGGTCATAGGAATAATCACTATCATGATATAGATTTTCAGAATCTGAGTTCTCAGTTACATATATAATGGTACTTTTCTTCTTCCTTAGTACAAGTTGGAACTATATACCTTTAAATGAGATTATAGATTTTGCAGAAGTGAACGGTGGAATAGCTGTTTAAAGAAAACTTAAACAAAGAATAAGATGAATTTATTGGAAGCCTAAGCAGTTATGGAATAGCAGGGTAGAGTGTTTGCCATGGAATGTAGTTTTTCCTCAAGGCAATAACATATAGAATACCAGCCTGAGTGGGAATCCTGGCTCAGTAGCTCTGTGACCTCTATAAACCTCATCGTCTCCATCTTTGAAACAAGGAAAAGAATACCTGCTTGGTAGCATTGGGTGATGATAAATTATAAATCAAGTACATGGTATAAAGCCAGGGCCTAAATAGGGAACCCATGAATGGTGGCTGTTACTACTATGTTTTATTATACTGTCATGTCATATTTTATTCAAAAAGTGCTTTGTTTTGTCCCACCATAAACAGAAAGTGTAGTATTAACAAGCACCCTTTTAGACCATGCTCTCCCACCTGTCTTCTGATCTTCTACCGATGTGTTCAAGTATGCAGTTAACATTTTCAAGGGAAAGGTGTATTTCTTTTTTTTTTTTAAAGATTTTATTTATTTGCAAGAGAGAGAATGAGAGACGGAGAGCATGAGAGGGAGGAGGGTCAGAGGGAGAAGCAGACTCCCTGCTGAGCAGGGAGCCTGACGTGGGACTTGATCCCGGGACTCCGGGATCATGACCTGAGCCGAAGGCAGTCGCTTAACCAACTGAGCCACCCAGGTGCCCCGGGAAACGTGTATTTCTTTCATTTTCTTTTAGCAGTAAATATTTGCTGTGGCTTTAAGAAGTATTGCTCAGTTTTCTTTATAAACTATACTCCAAAAAATATATTTTTATCGTATGGCATTAATGTTTTTTCGAAGAGTCCATAGTTTCGTTGTGCTACTCAAATACTTTATTTTGGTATTTCACATCGTGTATTCCACATATTGTCTTAAGTCCTAGATTATAGAGGTAAATAGAAATATATTTGCTTTTTCTCCCTTTTGCTAAACTTTTTTTTGAAGAAGATAATGAAAAACAACTGTCTGAGGTAACTTAGAGATTGGGTACTTTATATAATTTTAGACTCAAAAGCAAGAAAAATGGGAAGTGGTAAGAAAATAATGTTTTTAAATTATGGCAGCATGGGGAAAAATAAGTATCCTCAAATCTTTAATTGCCCTATACTTGGGCTGTTTACATGGATTGCCACGGGTTTTTAAAGTGAGTGTGGCATTTTGCCAGATTTAGGCTTTGTTTGGGCGACTTCAGGACAAATGCTGTTTCTATCAAAATTAGAGCTATTTCTTGATAAATGCATAAAATGCTTGCAAGTGTGTAAAACAGGATTTTTACATTTTAAGTCTTCCTCTTCTTCGTGTTCTTTGGGATGCCAGGTATGAGGCCAACAACATTGGTAGGTTCCTGGGAAGTTCCTCTTCCTCTGTGTGTCGAAAACCATGTTTGTGGTAAATAACATTTGCAGTTAAAGGGTTGCTCTAATTTATAGTGTAAAAAAGAAGGATTGACTATAAGTAGATCTAGGAAGAGAGTGCAGTTGGAAGTTCTGGAAAGCAGCTTGATCTTGAGTGGAATTTGGGAGGATGCAGTCGAGGTAGTTTCGTCTTTATGTGGCCTTGTGTTCCTGTTTCTCCTGCCGACATCAGCCCTCAGTTATGGGAGACATTTTAGATTTCTCACGTTCACATCTCAGTCAAATGCACTTTGGAAGCTAGAGACTCCTACCACGAGGCCATGTGCTGCAGATTATTTTTTCCAGTAGCGCTAGATGGATCTATTTAGAGTCTCCTGGACTCTTGTGACTGGCGTCTGTGAGAATACTGAGCAGAGTGAAGGGTAAACTCTGTGGCTGTGGACCTGCATCATGCTCTTTGTGAGTGAGCTGGCTCACCTGGGATCGCAGGTGCAGGGGAACCGTGCTACTGCCCTGCAGGGGGATAGGTGTGATTAAACCTGGAGAATTTTCTTTATTCCGAAAAACTTGAAAGTACTAAGGAACGCTTTCTTAGAAGTCAGAGTTTTTATTTCTTAGTAAAGAAAAAGTAAAATCCACCTGAAGAAATCACCTTGTAAACCCCCCAAAATACCACCTTTTGCTTCCGTTCTTTTAATAGGTCCTATAATAGTCTTGCATAAAACCGATAGGAGAAATGAACAGAGAACGGGGTTCTTTGAAACCCTTTGCTGCCCTGCACTTACTAGTTTGAGGCTTCCTTCCTCTTACCTGCCCCTCTTCTCTGAAGCCTTGCTTGCTCTTGTAGGGAGAGGTAGTTGATCCTTGTGGGGCAGCCTTAGTCTTTTCTTACGTTAAGTCTTACGTTTTGTGGGCATCCCTTTGTTCACCAATAGACCAGTCACTGATCTCCCTCCCACCACCATGAACAGCTTGAGGGCAGCGTCTGCATTTCATTCATCTTTTCACCCGTAATCTCCAGTCTGATGCTTGGTAGGTAGTGGGTGTTAGAAAAAATCATTTTTGAATCACTGAACACGGAATAGCAGACCGATTTCCTAAAATGTGCTTTTATTCCTTTAGGCTCCTCTTGCAGCCCAGTGTGGGCTGAAGATCTTCTGGTACACTGAAAACAGATGCACAAAGGCAAATATGTACATTTTTACGTAAAACTCAGCTTTAGTCAAAACCTAAGTGAGTGTCAAAGGGCTCTTGAAATTTAATATTCAGACCCTACATAGCACATTTCTGGAGTTTCTTAAGAACTCCGTGTTAAGTAGGTTATCAGCTGTCATAAACAACCCCAGATCTCGGTGGCTTATCACAGTCAAAGTGTGTTACTCGTTGTTGTCGCCGCCTGATTCACGATGACGGGGAGGAGGGAAGTGGGTGTTTTGCTCCATGTGGTCATTCAGCTCCACACCGTTATTCAGGAACCAGGCTCCTTTCTTCTTGTGGTGCCACCATTTACCACACGGCCTGCAGGGACATACAGCAGGGGCAGAGAGCCGAGGGTCACGTGTGGCACGTCTTTCTGTGCCAGGCCTGGCCGTGGTGTGCATCACCTCTACAGCTGTCCCCTTGGCCAGAGTCCATCGTGTCCCAACCCCAGTGCAGCCAGGGAAGAAATCTGGCTCGGCGATGGACCCAGAAGAGACTGAGTTGGGTGTGGTGAGGGCACCTCATTGTGTTTGTGGTCTGTGCCAGTTCTGAGAAGTCTGGATACCAGCACTTGGCACGCTGCGCGACTTCTACTGTACATGCGCTGGAAAGTGTAGTTGGAATTCTTGCCATTTTCAGGAAAATGTTTCATCAGTTTATGATTGGTATTGTTGTTTGTGTTTTCAAATTATGGCTACTCTTGCTTTTTAATTATAAATCACAGGTAGTTTGGTGTCATCAGTCTCAACTAGTGTGTTGTGTGGTTAACCCCACAGTTTGTAAAGAAATGCTTGTTTGCATCAGCAGTTACATAGTTTTCCAAAAAACAAAACAAAAAAACCCTGTGTTTGTTATGCCATTTTTAATCATTTGTTCACAGCCATGTCTTCTTTAACACTAGGCTGGTCTTCCAGTGGAAAGTGGAAATGGTGGGTGTGTTCAGCAAACAGGATGTCCTGTTTTTTTTTTTTTTAAAACAGAGACACAGCTAGACTCTTAGCTAGGTGGGGACAGGTGATGAAGTTCTGGCTTATTGAAGAGTTCGTGGAACAGATGTCTACCGCGTCCAGGTCTGGTCCATGAAATGTCCTATGCTGTCAGCTGTATTGCCTCTCTTCGTTAGTACCTTAGGCCAGGGTTTGGCAAACAAGGCTGGGGGCCCAGATCTGGCTTGCTGCCTGTTTTTGTAAATTATGTTTCAGCTGCCCACAGCCTAGCCACTGGTTTGTGGCTGCTTTTGTCCTACAGCGGTAGCGTTGAGTCAATGTAACAGAGACTGTGTGGCCTGCAGAGTTTACTGAAATCGCTTGCTCAGCCCTAGGCTGGCTGAATGGGGATCTTTGAAAAGGGCAGAGCCGTAAGACAGGGCAGCCTGAGTCCCTGAATGTGGAAGTCCACCTAACCAAGCATAACTGTGAATAAACCTTATCTGAATGAGACATTCTGAGACTATTAAGTGAACTGCGGTTTTTGCATTTATTTATCACAACACTTAGCATTATTATTTCTTAGTATTTAGGGTACAGGAGCCATGGTAACTTTGGTCTGTTTGAAAAGCCTAGTTCAAAAAAATTTAAGAACCACTGATTTGTAACACCAAATCCAAACTCTCCTAACTTTCAAGACTTACTGTATTTTAGGCTTTTCTTGATGGTCCAACT